GGCAGTTGTAATGTTTGGATTAAATAATCCATGCTAGTTCTCTGAGGAGAAATAGTTACTTAACTGAGCTCTTGTGAGGCAACAGTTATAAATGGTAATCATTATCAGTCAATTTAATGTTACTTTTCCTTTCAGGAGTGGACGCTTCTCATGTGAGCCAGCTGGAGGTCTTACCTCTTTGACTGAACCACCTAACGGACCTGGCTTTGGTGTGCAAGCAGGCCTTTAATTTATATTCAACTGTAAATATGTCACTGGAGAAATAAAATATGAATCTCCTGTCTACCTACATAGACTTCTTATATTATTTGTTCATTTCCATCTGTGTACACCTTGCTTGTAACCTAGCAACTTGCAGCAGTAAGTGCCATGTCAGAACTTAAGAGCACCATTTTAGTCATCTGCCGTCTTTGGCTAACTATGAACACATTATTCCCTAAGCTAGTTAACAGTTATTTCAACATTACCCATTTTCAACAGCCCCTTTACTTTTATCGTAATAACAGGTTATTGTGAAGTAAAAATTCTGTCAAATTTCAAATACATTTTGCTCTCCCATCTTTAACCATAGCCAAGTCTTAAGTTAATATGATCTTTCTATAAACTTCGTCAGTATTCTCTTTAAACATTTTTATATTTACAGCACACAACTGTTACTGTAATTTCAACTGGTAAGTGACATATCAAGCGACTGTAGGTGTAACGAGGACAGGGTAGTTGTCTCTAGTACTATTTATCATTTTTAAAGGAGGATACAAAACACTTTGATATTATCCTTGGCTATTCTGACCCTGCAAGTATACAAAAACTAAGTGGGGAAGAAACTGGAAGTGTAACTTGAGTTGGAAGCTTCAGTGGATATGGGAAATATACTCCTCAGCTGAATGCATATTACAACTTGGAAGAAAGAATAAAACCCTTTGTATATAATATCCAGTTCAAGAAACTAGCTATGAGTTTTGCAAGCTGGAATAAAAAATTAATAGCCAGCTTTAAATTCAGGGATAGATCTAAACTAATCCAGTTTCAGGATTTCTCAAAGTCACTGTTTGGCCTTGATCTTATGACAGACTAGTAACTGTGATGCTTATAAATATGATTATTTTTAAGACTGTCTTTAAAAATGAGTTTTTGAGAAATGAAATTGAGTTACTTTTACTGAGGTGCATGGACCTAGAGTCTTGTCATACAGAGTGAAGCAAGTCAGAAAAACAAATACTGCATGTTAACACACATATATGGAATCTTTAAAAAAAAATGGTTCTGATGAACCTAGGACAGGAATAAAGACACAGACGTAGAGATGTACAGAATGGACTTGAGGACATGGGGAGGGGGAAGGGTAAGCTGGGACGAAGTGAGAGAGTGGCATTGACATATATACACTACCAGATGTAAAAGATAGCTAGTGGGAAGCAGCTGCATGGCACAGGGAGATCAGCTTGGTGCTTTGTGACCACCTAGAGGGATGGGATAAGGAGGGTGGGAGGGAGATGCAAGAGGGAGGGGATATGGGGATATATGTATACATATAGCTGATTCACTTTGTTATACAGCAGAAATTAACACAACACTGTAAAGCAATTATACTCCAATAAAGATGTTAAAAAAACAAACTAGTTTTTGTTTTTTACCTAGGAAGGTAACAACAACAGTAATTTTTCAAGTGGCACAAAAAGGTAACACAATGAAAATGCTCCCTTCTACCCTAGAGCCCTCAGACCTTCCCACAGGCAACTACTTTTACTATTATTTTTACCTCTTAAAAAAAAAATAGTCTATCTTCTCTTTGTTAGCTGTTAAGCTTTTTATTTAAAATTACAGGTATTCCTTTAAATTAAAGTTACTGTTGTAAAAAATGCCTTACACTTTGACATAATTTTTTTTTTCCCCACTAGACGAAATGTTAGGAGTGGGAAGGTTTCAGATATTTGGTGAAAAAACATGTATTAAGGATATGCACTGATTATTAACTTATATACTACTTTAGAAGCAGAATATTGATTTTAGGTCACTATAATTATAGGCATACTGTTATATCATTATCAAAACATATTCTATAGTTCTTAGATCATCACATTGTACTGCAGTAGTACATATTAGGATTTTGAGTTGAATCTTGCTTAATCTTTTTGTCCATTTTTCTTGAAAATCCTATCAATTTTTAACACAAGAACACTGGTTTTAATAACTACAGATAGGCTTTTAAAAACACCTGGCAAGTAAAATTTCATTACAGTAATCCAAGATGGTTCCAAATGTATATGAACACACTGACTAAAATTTTCTTGCCAGTTTTTGGTTGCCTGAGATGAAGCTATATCCCAGCCTATTTTTGAAACCCGTAAGGAGAAGTTGGCAGTGTTGATGTGTCTAACACCACTTGCTCCCTCATTTCCTCTTTTCAGTTCCTAGCTCTGTGCTGTTTTTTACAAAAAAGATATTTAGGAAGGAAATGTTCTTATTGCTATTTAAATTTTTTTATTATAAAAATGAACCAACAAATAATTCAACTTGTCATTTTTCCTACTGGGCAAAGAATCTAATGTCTGGCTTTTTTTGGTGGTTTTTGGAGTGGCTACTGAGTGTAGCTAGGGAAAGCTACCAATTCCTCAGAATTACTTGCTGTGACTGGATAGAGCCATTGCCCTAGTAAGTCCTACAACATGATGATAGTCATAAGAGTATTAAAGCATTACATCTGTATAGATTCATATGATAAGCCATGATTGAGATTGTATTTTTCATTTATTATATTCACCTTCCTGAAATATGGCAGGATTTTTTGAATGATCTAACTGTACATTATGTAGCAAAACGTAACAGTAGTTGATTCTAAAGGTAAGAAGTTGGAAAGAAAGTAAATTTTGCAGATGGCTTCTAGATATCAAATATACACATTTTAAGTGTCTGCTAGTAATAACCCTAAATAAATGTAATAAAACTTAACCTTGGCTAAGAGTGATGTTTAATGCTTGGGGTCCTTGATCTCCTGGTACTATTAAAACATTTTGCCCACTTGCTGAAGATGGATTCCAGGATTTGAGCCAATGAAAGACATGGCTCTACAATTAACAGCCTTAGCAACTTACTAGTCAACTAGCTCCAGCTTCTTTAGAGGTCTCTATCCATAAGAATTAACTTCTTGATTTATACTTCTAGTTTCACACTGAAAAGGAAAACTAGCTCCTCTTCCCTTCATTTTGGACCTTTCCAATAACTATGGCTGATTTATAATTTGTCGCGTATAATCTTAATAGGAGCTTCAATAAATTTTTTTTTGCAACTTGACTGATTCTGCAATGAACTTTTCTTTTACAGATAGTGTCCTATTCAAGTGTAGTCAGTATGGTGCCTTGGATCACAATTGCCTTGAGTCTTTCATGTATTCAGTGATTTTTAAGTAATAAGGTTGTGCAGATAGTTATGGCATGAATTATGGTTAATTGATTTCAGCAAATTCAAGATTAGCTACCTTTCAGTTTTCAACTGAGGCTCGTACTGCTGTAGAAATAGCTATTGCCACTGCCATCCATTCTCCCTATGACAGCGAGTTAAATGAGAACCAACTCAACGACTTGAAGTCAGACAAGAGTTGGTTAAATTTTTAGTGGATTTTTCTTTGTATTTCATGCCATAAATATCCAAATTATACGTAAGTGATCCACTTCTAGCCACAAGGTGCTCTCTTACAATTCATATTGAACCTAATATTTTTAAAGGTGGGAGAAATCAGGAACCTAGGAAAGTAAAAAACAGTGATGTTTAATGCAAGTTTATGCTTTATATGGTTAAATGCTGGGATTTAGCTTTCTCTGTCAAGTCTGAAATATATCATCTGATTAATGACAAATTCGTAACTTCACTCATTAAGTCACAAATGCGTGCTGTAGTTTGGAGGACACAACGATGAGGGAGAAGATGGTTTCCCTCCAATTACGCAAGCTCTTTTATGGTTAAATAAAGGCATGCACAAATTGTCGCGGATTAACCTCAATGTAAATAAAAAGCGTCCAAAAGGAACTCAATAAAATGGTTTCCCTCCGATTATGTAATCCCTTTGGTGGTTAAATAAGGGCAAGTACAAACTGTCGCGGATAACCCTCCAGAGGAAGTCAGAGTGCCAGCAGCTGGACCGCCGAGGCGGTAAATTTCCCTCCTGCACTGTCCTCCAGCTGGCAGTGCCCTGAGAAGTACTATCTCGGATGGGGGAAAATGCACTTAAATTTGTCTGAAAAGGTCATCCGAAGGTGTGACTGTGAGAGGGCGTATTGCAGAGTCCGTGCAGTCCCCGCGGCGACAGGTGCACGCGAACGCGCTTTAGGGATGGGCCCGGGGCCCACATGGCTCAGGTGAGGGGCGCGTTGCGGCCTGGCCAGCCCAGTGCTTCCGCAGGTGCGGCCGTCGGCGCACAGGCGCAGTGCGCGGACCCGGGTGCACCGCCTTTCGCACCGCCCCTGGTCCGCAGTCCACCGCGAGCCGGGGAGGACACCCGCCTCCGCCGCCAGCCGGGCCAGAAGCGTTGTTCTCCCGGGTCCCAGCTCGCAAACTCGTCCGCCCGCCCCCGCAAAAATAACATGTGAATACCCAACGCAGACAGAGCCTCCTCTTCCTCGCCGCCGCCATTTCCAGAAGTTTCCAGTCACTGCCACGGCCATGGTCGCCGCAGAGCGCGAAGCGGCACCCACCGGCCCGGCACGTCGGCGGCGCCTGCGCGCCTCCCCCGCTCCCCTAGGCCCCTCCCTTCTGGGGCTGGTGCCGGCGGAGGGGAGGCGGCGAGGCGGGTGGGGTCCGCACCCCCGCGTCCACTTGGTACGCCCCGACCCCCGCCCCCGGCTCGCGAAGCTTCTCCCAGCCCAGCCAGAGCGGCGGGCCGCGGCGCGGGGAGGCGGGCGGAAGGGGCGGCGGGGCCGGGGGCGGAGCGCTCACGCCGCCCGTCCCGTGCCCGGCGCGTCACGTGCCCGCGCCGCGGCCAATCGCCGGACGGCGCCGTCCTGGGAGCGAGCAGGCTGTGGTGAGGGGCGGCGGAGACCGGAGATGTTTTCGAGCCCGGCCTTGGCGGCGTTCGCGGCGGCGGCGAAGACCACGACAGCGACGGCGGCGCCGAGGCCCTCGTTCCGGGGGTAGACCCTCCCGCGCCGGCCGTGCCTCGGGTCCGTGCGGGCGAGGGGGGCGTGGCGACAGGCGAGGAGGAAGGAGGGGCGCGGTTTCAAGCCCCGGCCCCGGAGCCCGGGAGGAGCCCCTCAGTCGCGCCCGCTCCCGTCCCCTCCCCCGAGCGAGGTAGGGACTCGCCCCGCCCTGCGGCGCCGCGCTGACAGTACGGCTGCCCCGCCGGGAGTGCAGTGGTCGCGGCGCGGCGGGAGCTGCCCGAGCGGGGGGGCGGGGGCTCCGCGGGCTGCCGCGCCGCTCCCGGAACATGGCGGGGCCGCGGCGCGTGTGCGTGCGAGGGAACGAGGGAGCGAGTGTGCGCGGCCGGGGCTGGGGGGTGGGGGGGGGCGCCGCCGGGAGCCGGGCGGGGTGGGGGCGGGGCGCCCCCAGCCCGGGCCGCGGGTAGGCAGCTTCGCGGCGCGGGCGAGCCGGGCCCCGGCGTTCTCGGACCCTCGGGCCGCCGGGTTCTTGGAGCTAGTTCGAGGGTAACACGCTGTGACGCAGCCTCGAGGTTCCCAAAGCGTTGAATAAACGGTTGTACAAAGAGGTCACCGAAGCCCAGCTGACAGCTGTTTTAATAATAACAGTAAGAAACAGTTTAGGACGGGAAGTTGACACTGTTGCACCCGTAGAAACCGTAGGAAACATTTTAAGCGGTGTTAGCGGTCGAGAGTGTAATTTCCACCCTGCGGACGCAGTGAAAAGGGTCGCAGACCCAGAGATTCTTAACACTTCGGAATCGGCTCTAATCCTGAAGTTGAAGTGAACCTGAGTTCTTAGTCATGTGCCCTTTTTTATTTTAAAACGGTTTATGTAAATTATAAAAGAAGGCGAACTGGTGAAATAGCTATTTTAAAATAAATTGACTGTTGATTAAAAACATATGCTCATATAGGCTCTTAAAAATCTTGGGCACTGATCTGTTTCAGTTTCTTCAGTCGTTATACAAAGACTTTCCTGGAGATTAGCTCAGAACTGGCAGAACATTTGCTATATTGGTGCCAAGTGGCTTAAAAAACAAAATGAGATAGTGTCGACTGTGTAAGATCAAGTCGTTATATTAGCTAAGCTTGTTGGGAAAAGTCTTTAATTTGGGCTAAACGCAAAAACATGTAAACATTCGAAATGTTTCATGGGCAAGGGGGGGAAGGCTTTACTAAAAGATCTTTTATAGTCGACACAAGCAGTAACTAAATTTCTAAAAGTCTGTAGATGGTTGACTGAGTAAGGTCAAGCCTAACTATTCGGGGTATGTGTTCTATTTTAGGGACAGGCAAGGTGTTAAAATGAAGTAAAACGTAAGTAGTATTCATGGAAGGAAAAGAGCAGGATGCCTGTAATGTTCTTAATCTCTCTGGTTTCCATAGTTGTTGTTAGGATGGTTTTATGAACAAGCAGAGCTGGGAAAGTGGAAATCTCTGGGTGTGTATTCCATGAAGACTATTTGAGACAGAGTAAAGAAAATAAAGTATTCAGTTGAGGAAAGAACTTAGTAGGTGGAAATACATTGTGCGGTCTTTGATTTTAGTTCTTTAATACCAGGAAGGGAGAAAAAAGCTTGAATTTTGTTTGGAGACGAGCGCCCAACTGGTGGAATGAATTTAAAAGGAAGATGTTTTTATCAAATTGTTTATGTTACTTTTTTTTTTTTTTTTTTTGCTATAGAAGTTGCTGAAAAAGGTAACTGATAATCTTCGAGGTAGACTGGAGAAATAGGGATATTTGGAAAACTCTTCATTGGAAAAGAGGTTTTTATTCTATAGAATAAAAATAATAGTAAAAATGTTCAGTTTCTTGGTATGAGTTGAGTAGTTAAATTTTCTGTAAGCCATTCTTATGTTTTAAGAGCATTGTTTCAGGCTAAAAAGAGAATGAATAATGAGATTAATCATGTCCATCGTAGTCCATAAAAGGTTTAGACAGCTTTCTGTATATAAACTTGATGCTACTGAAGCAACATCTATCAGATAGACATGAAGAATTTATCCAGTGAATTGCAGTAGGTTGCTTAATAGCTAATGACACCACTTTCTGACTTGGAACTTGTTGCGGAAGCTGTTGCGGAAGCTGACATCAACATGTATTTGTAAAATGCTTGTACTCTGTAAAGGTTGTAGTTTAGAGATTTATCCTTAGAACTGGAAGAGACCTCAGATTTTCTAATCCATTTCCCTCATTTTACAGATGAGAAAATAAACGCCTGGTAAGGAGAAATGACTTACCCAAGTCAGCACAGCTAATTAAAACAGTCTGTGGTTTGGCCTAGAGATTTTTTTTTCTGAAGACGCTAATTTGCTTCTTTCTTTAAGAATTAGCTTTATGGAGTAGTGGAAAGAACAGGCAAATAAAAGTGAGAAGGCCAGGGTTTACATTCTTGATTTGTCACTTCCTAACTGTGGTTTTTGACAAATCATACTTGCAGAACCTTGCCTTTGTAATCTGCAAAAAATAATTTTCCTACATAATTTACAGGATTGTTTGATGGAACAAATGTGATTTCATATGGAAAGCACATTATATACTATAAGCTTTTATCTATATAAAAAGTGGTGATATTATTTTTAAAATAAATACAGTTTTCTACTGTATTGTCTAAGGTGTCTAGATCTCTAGGTTTTTGCTTAGCCGTAGCTTCATTGTTTTGAGCACCTGCTGTTCTATAGATTATAACTCCCTGTAGATACATTTTCTGATCCCTACTTAGTTCTAATCTTAGTAAAGCCTCTTATGAACATTTTAAATATTGCGGTTGTTAGAGCCTGACTTCCTCTGGAGAATATGAAGTTTCTTCGTATAGCATTTGAAAACATTCTCATATACACTCATGCATGCATAATGTTTCTTTAACAGGCAGTGGCTTTTTAAAAGTAATAGTGAAAGTATCTTAGTAGCAATGTTAATTTGTTGCTAGTTTCTAGATAATGGCAATAACAGGAGGTAATTTCCTTTATAAACTCAGCTTTTGAGTAGTTCATGTTAAGGTTATCTTGTAGATCTAAAATATAAGTGCAGAAATGTTAAGACACTGTTGACTTTTGCTGTTAGGTTTAAAGACGTTTTTCTTTTAGCGCTTTAAATCGATAATACTGGGAACATCAACATTGTAGTATTGTAGTGTTACATACATGGATTATTTGTAACCTTGAAGCTAAAGGTTATGATAAACATTTGTTCAGCATGTAGAATCTGCACGTATCTGTGTTCAGAGTTTTAAGTGAAATATTTCAGATAATTTTCATAGTAACCCTGTAAAACAGATACTGTGGCTGAGGAAAATGAGGCTTTGAACTGTTATGTGGTGTACAGATATTCACAGACCTAAAAAAGTGACAGACTCTGCCGTCCCCATTCTTAACCATTTCTCTGTATTCTACCTCTAAGAGTGTTCAGCTGATTTTGAGAAGTTTTAGGGCAGTTTTTAAGTTTCTGACTTTGTGAAAAATTTGGCGGGGTTGGGGGCAGCATTCTACCTTCTACTATGTTGGTTAAAAAACAAAAAGAAAAGAAAATACCTTATGAGAATTGTGGAAAACCGTCCAGCAAGCCTTTTAATGAGATGCTGATGTAGTTGGGTTTTTTTTTATGTTAGTTGTCACAAGCAAATTAGTCTCGCCAGCAACAGAAGGACTACAGTTGTTAGTACTAAGAGACTGTTGTAACAGACTCCACCTTGATATTGATGTTCATTGTTCTAAGGAAACATACTTTAAACAGAGTGACTGAAGGAAAAAGATAACTAACCAAATTCATTTGGGGCTTTTATAAAGGAACAGATCCAGCAAGAGTAAATATGAGTTTGGCCAGGTTAGAAAATAGCAACCAAAACTAGGTTTTCTGATTAGTGGAACCCTCCACAATTCTAAGAAATTCAGATTTAAGTTCTTAGAGAATTAGTTTTAAACACAGAAATGCTTCCAAATTGAGGTAAATAGAAGAGGTAAATTATGAAGCTGCAAGTTGCAAAATCATTTTTCTTCAGCTTTTAAAAATTGTGTCCTTTTTTGGCCGGTCCCTTAATATTTGTTTATTGCACTAAAATTGTTTCAAAATATGTAGTAGTTTACATTTCTGTTTATCAGTTTGTATTTGGGCCACAATTGGGGGAGATACCACAAATACTAGTGATAAATACTATGTTGTTAAACTACCTTATTGCTTGAGAGAGTTGGAAGAGTCCTGTAGCTTCTTACATTTCAGATTGTTGTTCTTCCTACATAGGAGTTTTTTTGGCATTCTGACTTCTAGTAGAGAACAAAAACCATGTGTGCGTGGCTCTCTCTTTCTAGAAATAGCTGTAGTAACTCACGATGAAAGATAATAGTATGTAAAAAATTACGGTGTTCTGTAGTTCATGAAGTACATTTTATATCCGATCTCTTGAATTTCACAACTACTCTGAGATCAGCAAAAAAATCCGCTACTCTAATGATATTGAACCATGGATAGGATCCAGGTTAAAATTCTCTGGAGTAATGCTAGACTCCTTTGAAATGCACTCGTGAAAGAGAATCATTAGCAAATCTGAAGGAACAGGAAAGAAACACCTACTTTTAGTCTCTCTTCCACCAAAGCCGCATTGTACACAGCTTACTTGCATTCTGTTCTACCACTTCTGAAACTTTAACAAGCAGGGTAGGAGTAAATACTAAAAACATTCTTTATACCACTTTACTAATTAGTGCTGGTGGTTAATGATGTCACTTAGATGAGAAAATTTAAAATTTACAGAATGTTTCCTACCATAATTTGCACAAAAATATTGTAACTAGGAATAAAGCCTTGGCTTATATTTTAATATTATGTACCAAAGTCTTGCAACCTCTGAGTTAAAATAAGTTCTTTTTACCAGAGTTTAATTTTTGACTATTTGGAAGTTACTTGGTGATCAAAGAAAAGACCTTTTATTGAGCTTTAGTATTCTAGGTACTGTTAGATACTTATATATGTGTTATTTTAATATAGGATGAGAATAGATATTTTACATATCTAGTTATGAAGAAACTTC